GTGACGTGCACGTGTCAACTGACCCTGGAGTCAATTAGCGGTTGTTTGGGGCAAAATAACCTCAAAATAATCAATCTATTTTACAAGCGTTCGCGAGAACACCAGACTAACTCTCAGATAATGTTGAAGTACTATATCTCATTAGGTAGTAAGAGGGATTTGGGGTGATTTGGAGAATTCCCCCATATAGAAAATTCGATTTTGGTTTTAGCGGTAAATTGTTGTATTTATAAGCAATATGCAAATTACGTTTCAAAATTCTGCTGGTTCGTCGATATTTTATGCTCTAAATCTAAAAAATGTGCCGTTCAGAAATTGTTAGATATCTGCTTTTTGAGATTTAAGTGGAAGATTGCCAATATATTCGCTCGTTTATGAAAGTCAGCTCATTTCTGTCGCTAGGCTATATTGCCGTGTTCGGCGGCTAATTTTAGGCACGCAGACCGTTGAAATCGAAAATCTTAAATAATTCCCAAACTCGGCCGCATTTTGAAATTTAAACCTCAGCAGTGTTATAAACTCATTAAAACCTTATTACAGACTGAAAATGAGGGTAAGTTAGGTTTTGAGCTGTGGCCACGATTTGCCGATTTTGCTCGATTTTTCTGTGCATTGGCTCTTAAGTAGTTTTGGTTCCTAAGTAACACGTTTAAAACCACATTTTGCTGGAAAATATGCGTGTTTAATTAATTTGTGTATTTAAAAAATACTGAGGTAATTTTACTAGTATTGTAAACGCTGTGAGCATCTTATTTGTCGGGGCCTTTCCGTGAATTTAAAGTCTAAGAAATGCCGGATCTGTTTAAATTGAAACCTATTGAATTTTAATTCCCTGCTACTTTGGAAGAGGAGACAATCGTTCTGGAAGGCACATTGAACATAATAAAAGGTTATACATCTTTTTGGCAAGGTAAATAACCCTAAAAGTAAAACAAGAATAAAATATAAAACTGATCTGGCATCGAATCACCGAATTATTTACTTCTAGTATTTCTCAATGGTAACGGTGGCTTTTGAATGCTATCAATAGATTTAAAGACGTGGGCAGTACTTGTTATTTAAAATGAAGAATTTGAATGCAATTATAAATGTTAATTTCTCGAAGATATATAGATCTGCGGGTGATTCAGTGAAAAGTTTGTACATTGTAGACGCGTTGCGGTGACAGAAAGTCTTTTGGCAAACATGTCAAATGTTACGTCGCAAAACGTGTAGAGACTTGCACCCTAGCGGAACTTCTTTCAAGTCGAGGAAACGCTACCGTGGTTGTCGAAGCGTTACTTAGTGTGATTTTGAATATAGCAGCCTTGTTTTTGGACTTCGTCCTGTACTGGGCGGTTTACAAGAACCATCGTCTCCGACGAATGACAAGTGTTTATGTCCTGGTACTCCCTCTTACCGATCTCCTCACGGCTGGGCTGGTGATGCCGTTTATGTGTGATGTTAGCATTTACGGAGAGTGGAGGTACTCTTGGTCCGCTTGTCAATTTCAAGCATTCTGTTGCGTCGTGCTAGCTTACATCGCTCAACTTATGTTCCCACTGACGGCTATCTATCGCTACGTTCGGGTACTGTGTCCTCGGATTTATTCGAAGCCTTTTTGTAAGGAAGTATACCTTGCTGTCAATCATCATCATGTCACTTTGTGCAATCATTGCTCCGTTGCCTTACCTTCTTAGAGGCCATACTTTCACTTTTCATCCAGGAAAGATGATCTGTTTTTATACCATCGAAAATTCTAGAGAAAAACAATCAATTTATAGAATTGTTTTCTTCACAATCTTACCCATGGTAATCGTCGCTTTTTGCTATTTTTGAATATACAGCTCTGTCAAAAAGCACTCAAAAATGGTGCACAGCGTCAGAACAGACCTCTACCTGAACACGAACGATTCTATTTCTATGGAAACTAAAGTCCATCGCCTTGACAATGTGCCAGATATGACAGTCACTTCTGTATCAAGCAATAAGCTATCACTTGACGATATTTTGATCACAAAAACATTGTTTGCTATTATTTTTGCTTTCTTTGTATGCTGGACCCCTCTTTATATCATCACAGCTATAGATACAGCGAATGGAGCGTTCGATCTTCCTAGGCAAGCACACTTTTTTGCTACGTACCTAGTTGGGTCAAGCAGTATTATCAATCCTCTGATATTCGGATACATGAACGCTACGTTCAGAGAAGAATGCAAAATGCTTATCAAAGCGCTGGGATTGAAGAGGCCTCTTCAAGTAAGAGCGGTCGATAATTAAGGCGCGGGAATTTAGAGAGTCATGATCGCAACACCTACAGAGATGGAGCTGCAGGAAGAACAAAGAATTAAACATTTGTTGAGGGGTCTAAGAGGCATTTAAACGTTTGGAGGGTGTGAAAAAAATTCAAACCTCTTCCATTCCCTTTAATGAAAAAGGAAAGAAGCAAACTGCATGTTGTAACAAAAAGGAGCAAATAGTCATATAAAAAACCTCTTCAAGTTTCTAGCATAATTTGGGCCATTTTGTCAAAATCTTCAGGGGTTCCTGTTCTTTTCCTGCTATTAAATAGTAATCTATTTCCCAGCAGGCCGGGCTTTTTGCGTTCTACGACAAAAATTAAAACTTGCATCAGCCGATTCATTGCACCTATGCGAAAAAAAACCAAACTGTAAAGGGAAAGAAAGTCAAACTTGAGGTAAAACGAATACTCAGTTTTAACGCCATTTGCAACAAAGTGCACGCCGCTAGCTCAGCGGAGAGAGGTGGCTTTTAGTCTCCCGTCTTAGTCACGTACTTTTCCTTATTTTGTCTAGCTGAAATGGTTTTTAAAATGCCTGCTGGTAACAGGATTTTTAGACTCCCACTGTAATGTTTCGATTTCTGGCAACAAGATTCATTACAAGCGAGGGTGTGTGGTGAATCAGTCTACATCACGTTGAGTAGCAGTGGTCCTTACAAACTTCGTTAAAAGACATGTTTTTTTATTCACTTCGATGACAAAACCCTATGGTGGGTAACTCAGTTTTTGAATAATTCCTCTTTCCGTTGATGTATGCGAGGCAAGTTGTTGATATATTTGCATGATAAGGAGGACGTGGTTGGAATAAATGAATAAATGCTTTAGATTATAAGACTTCAAGGGGGGAATAATTACGGAAAAATTCTCCCTCTCTTAGCCAACAGTTAATTATTATGCTGAAAATATCACTTCATTGTTACTAGAAAAAGGGTGGTGCAAAGTGCCAAAGCAAGACTTGTAAAAAGAGTTACTCAAAATAAATACTGATATCTTTATACTTATTCATGATCAGTGCTTAGATATCACCTGTTGTAAACAGATGACATAACGAATATGCCATCGACGACAAAGAGGTATATTTATTAAATTTTGTTTAATGTCTTGCTAAAGGAAGTCGAAGTTGTACTACATCATCTTAATCGTGTTTATCTCGTACTGGAGGTAAGTTCAATATACCAGTTAGTGTCAACCTGGGGTTTCTGCTTATTTTAGATAATTGAAAAGTTGCACGACAACAGTTTGAAGAGTACACCTCTTGGCTCAGTTGGTATAAATAAAAACAACAACAACAACAACGGTACAAAGTTGTTCTCCGTTTAAGTCAAGCTTTCCTTTCTGTGGTAGCAATCCGGTGTCACAGTGATATGGCCATCCCCGCGTTTTTGGCATCCCCATTCCCAAAACCCTAGTAATATGGGCATCCCCTTGTCATATTACCTTAGCGATTTGGGTTAGGGTTAGGGTTACAGGGAATGTCTATATCACTAGGGTTTTGGGAATGGGGACGGTCAAAGCGCAGGGATGCCCATATCACTGTGACATCGGCACTTAAGAAGCGAGAAGGAAATTGGGCCGAGTTAACTTTCGCAAAGACCTCTGGGACTGTTACTTGGGAACTTAAGCAAAGGCGTTTTTCATTCCTGAGCAGTGGTTTCTTGCAAGTGTTCAGTTAAATCGTCTCTAAAAGTGTAAAGAAACTAAGCAATACAAATATTAGAGGAAAAAGTCGTCACTTCCGGTTGAAGTGCGTCTCTCAAAAACGCCTTTGCTTCACCAGTAACGATCCCAGAAATAATTTGCGGAACAATTTCGGCACCAGTGCCTTTCTTGTTTCTAAATCGGCGAAAGCATGAAAACACATGTAACGCAAGCTTGACATTTACCAGAATGTGGTGAAACTATTTATACTAATAGTATTTTCTAAGCTATTATATTGAATCTCACTATGTCACGTTTCTGTTATACCAAACAGTCATTGTTCTCTTGTGAATTAACACTCACAGTTTTGTGAAAATTAAAACACCGTGATCAACTGCCCTATCTGTGTCTGCTTTAATTGAGCGTTATACTGACGTTAGTTCAGGGTCAGTTTCTTGTTAAACACTCTATTTTAAAAAGCATTTTGCCAATCGCAACAAACCTCTTCCTGTATTCCCCATTCCAGTGGCCTGCAGGGAGCAGACGCTTTTTTCGGCTTTTGTTTCACCCGCCGAGAAAATAACTACAAGCTTCCGGGGAAATAGATGCAAGCTTTCGGCGGAACGATTTCTGGAGGATCTTTGCGAAAGCATTCAGAAAAAGAAACTGATCAGACTGATACCATTAACATTTTCCAAGAGTCGTCATCCTAAGCAGCCAACGGTCCTTATTACGCAATTTATACCGCGAAGCCTCACCTGTGAGCGATATTCTTCTCATTGACACTTGCCGTGCATGAGTATTCTTTTCAACACTTTAATCCTTGTGTAACAAAGGTATCCAAGTATAAATGTATACCTTGTTTATCTGGGATGGAATTTACAGGATCAAATTATTCTGGCAACTTTCCACTGACTTTCGTTTTCCTGAGTGTCTGACACTGACGGCAAACGATCGTCACTTGGACTGAAAAATGGTTTCGGTTAACTCTTCGAAGTCCCATCGCTTCGTTGATTTTCTCCCTTCAATTAGGCGATCTTTTCTTTCATTGGAGGTACTTTTTGCTTGCGGATGTCTCTGGATGAAGAATGAAACAACCAACGAGCGACTGACAGCATTGGAATCGCGCATCAGCATGTCTCCAGTGGAAGTTCTTGTTAAAACTGGCTGGTCGGCGATGGAGAACAGTGACAGAACGACGCTTAATCCAAAAGAAGAATATGCGAAGAATCTCTTAAAGAAACTTCAAAGACCGGTTGATGAAGTGAAGTTGAAAGATACTTCCGGTATACTTTTCTGACGCTCGGTTGGGAGGGGAGGGGTGGGTAGAAGACGGTACTTCCTTGCATAAACTGTATAAGGATGCATGGGGCCAATTTTTTAAACGTTTTCTTTTTAAAGTTTTGTGCTGCTGGAACCAGGGCTTGGAATTTGGTAAGTTCTCTATGATAGGCCCGAGGGTCTGAAATAGGGTCACTGGACGTTCCCCACCAGATAAGCTTACCATATTATATGTGGGCGAGTTGAGTGACCTTGTATTGAAATCTCAAAATTGATTTTGGTTTACATATACATTGTACTGTAAGCAACCCCAAACGGATACTATGATAATAAAGGACAGGGCTAAAGCAACAACAACAAGGTCGCAACTCAAAACAGCCTTGACCAGCCGCTGAGCTTAGGGACGGACCATTAGAAAAGTTATAGGGCGGGGGGGTTAGAGGTGAGGAATTTTCGAGCCGCAGGAATTTTTTTTTCGTTATCAAATTCCTTGTATGAATTTTTTTAGGCCTTACCATGGCTATTTTTCCGGATTAATCGGCGTACATGAATTTTTTTCCTTAGTTTTTCCTTCTGCGAATATTTTTTTTGGGCTTCGCCCCCTCCCCCACCCCCCGATAAGTCAGTTCTAATGGTCCGTCCCTTACCGAAGCAAACCCTATGTTGCCACTGGTTACGAAATTAATCCATCAGAGACTCATGATTTTTGGGTCAGCAACCCAAATAACAGAGTCAAGATACGCAAGTCATCAAAATACGCACTAATATAGTTCAATGTTTTATTGTCATCCCCGTAGAAATGAATTCCCCCTTAGCATTAGAGGAGTCAGGGGAATCAAGAACAAAAGCAAAGCCAAGAAACCGGAGACAAGTGTTGAACGCCACTTCAGCTGGCATCAGTATACATGACGTGCGAAAAGAAATCAGCAAACAGTTTGAACAACTAATGCCCACCAAGTACTGTAAGTCAAGGAGAAGGTATGTCCTATAGGTCCCCCCGGACTCCCTGGTCCCACTGGGGTCAGGGGACCACGTGGCAGGAGGGGGCCAAAAGGAAAGAAAGGTCCTCAAGGTCTTAAGGGACCACCTGGTAAATCTGGACAAAGAGGGATGACAGGTCCTGCCGGACTAAGAGGGGAAAAGGGAGACAAGGGTGAACCTGGGCCCAAAGCAGTAGTGGATAAGGCACCGAATTAACCTTTTCTTTGCGGATTTACTTAACTTTTTGTGCGGTATAAATTAACGTAGATGACGTCATGCATCTCATTAAGATGGGGTGATGTCATACTTTAAATTAATGCCGATGACGTCATGCATTCCACTCAGAAAGGATGATGTCATAGTTTATTTTAGCTGGCTGACGTCATGCATGTCATATAGATAGGAGATATGAAGACTAGTCCAACTATGAATGTTATAGAATTATTTTTCCTAGACCTTTGTATTGTTGCGTTTCAATAAAAACTGTAAACAACCAAACTTTAAGAGTGTTTTATTGCTGACTTGAAAATAATAAAAATACTAGTAAACTGATACAATAAATAAAAAACTCTGAAATTTGAAATACCCATTACTAATTCACGATCAAAAATTTTTTAATTAGGCACTGTTATTTGTGATTACCCTGAATAAAGATGATGATTCCAATGTTGAGAGCTGCTGCGTGACTAGCGGCGCGCGACACCCACGCGTGTGTTTGAGAAAATAAAGACTTACGACTAGAAATGGCCCGTTTGTCTCCTTTTGTCCCTTTTGGCCTGGTTTTGGCCTTTCAGGCCTGGTTGTGGCCTTTCTGGTCTGTGTTTGGCCTTTCTGACACTCTATATAACCTCACTGTTTGCGAAAAAAGATGTCATTTGTGTTCAGCAATCGAACTGTCAACATGGTTTACAAGAGAGTTTGCAGAAACTGTCCTATTTCATCGTGTGGGGCGAAGTACCTTGTCAGATTAGCTAACCATCTCGCGGATGTTCATCAGTTAGACTACACAAAGCGAAGACAGTATTTACAAGAGGCGAAACCGCAACCTAAAGTCAAAGTCGTCGTTTACGAAAGTGAAGCGGATAATTCCGGAAAAAATCACTATCGCAATCCAGTACAGACACAAGAAACGGTGTACTGCGAACTGTCAAGATCACAGAGAAATGAAGCCTCTTTTGAAGCAAAAGCTAAAAGACCGACTACAAAGAACAAGACAAAGCGCAAGAAACAAAGAAAGTCGAACTCTTGGCTTCGAGGCCATAGGAAAATTGTGTAGACACGGAAGGATTATTTATTATTCCTCGAAATAGAACGGAAAAAACTGATTTGTAATAGTCAGTCAAAGGATTAATTTTCATTCCTTTTCCTTTCAAATCGCTGTGTATTTGACTCTTTTTGTTATTGACTTTTAATAAAGTTTTTAAAACGGTATCTCTCTTGTGGTTTTATTGCTAGCAATTATTAGTCGCGTGTTCAAATTGATCCTTGTTAAGTTATTTAAAATTGGTTATATAATAATACGTCAAGGTGCTCCCTTGGGTCTACCTGTAGAGATCAACTAATTTGTATTCAACTTTGGGCTTGTGACCTCGCATAATTAACTGACTAACGGCGCGCAAGACCATAAGCTCATCAAGCGAAAGGGCTGAGACTTCAATAGTTAGTCGTTTCCTCGAGATGGAACGGAGAACACGCTTTTGTAATGGTGAGTCGAAATTGAAATAGAGAGTTTTCAGCTCCACTTTGTGTATGTGTGTGTGTGTATTTTGCTTATATATCCGATGTTTAGCACTAAATAAGAAGACAGGGCTGAGACTTCAATAGTTAGTCGTTTCCTCGAGATGGAACGGAGAACACGCTTTTGTAATGGTGAGTCGAAATTGAAATAGAGAGTTTTCAGCTCCACTTTGTGTATGTGTGTGTGTGTGTTTTGCTTATATATCCGATTTTTAGCACTAAATAAGAAGACGTGTTGCCAGGCGATCGCACTTCTTATTCCTATCTTTTTTTTAAATAGACGTTCCACTTATTCGTTACTAGAATGGAGTTTATTCAAGAACCAAAAGAGTTAGGGTTTACTTTAGAACCACCTGTTGTTTTCTATAGAATTTTTATACCCTGTGCAATACTTTTTTCAGAGTCAAGTAAGCAAAGACTGACATTTTTGCTTGATAGGCAGTTTTTCGCTTCGCTGAGCTTCGACCTCGTTTTCATGTTTTGCCTGAAAAATTAGTACGATTTCGCATTCGCTTAACCTCCCTTTCCTTCTTTTGAAGTAAAGATTTTTCAGTTAACCTCCGCGTCTTGGTTTTGTTTATAACCGATTTTTAGTGAAAATAATTTAATGATTAAAGATTTTTCATTTAGTATAATCTGCAAGGATAACACGTTCAAAATTTGCCAGCTTTTATTTTGAACACATAACAGTTTCTACAATATCCAATCAGAAGACTATAGCAAATAGCTAATTATATAAAAATCACTTTTCTGTTTATAGATTATGATCTCAACATTTTTTGATGACGTCAACTCTAGGAAATTTTGACGTCACTTGCTCCTTGCCAGCTACAAGTAAACTATGACATCATCCTATCTATATGACATGCATGACGTCAGCCAGCTAAAAATAAACTATGACATCATCCTTTCTGAGTGGAATGCATGACGTCATCGGCATTAATTTAAAGTATGACATCATCCCATCTTAATGAGATGCATGACGTCATCTACGTTAATTTATAGCGCACAAAAAATTAATTAAATCCGCAAAGAAAAGGTTAATTCGGTGCCTTATCCACTACTCAAAGCCGTTCAGGGACCACCCGGAAGTCCTGGAAAAACAGGAATGACCGGATTAACAGGACCGAGAGGAGACAAGGGAGGGCCTGGGCCAAAGGGAATGACAGGGCCACCTGGAAGAACTGGAAAAACAGGAATGACCGGATTAACAGGACCGACCGGAGACAAGGGAGACAAGGGAGGGCCTGGAACAAAAGGCATGCCGGGACCACCTGGAAGGACTGGAAAAACAGGAATGACCGGATTAACAGAACCGACCGGAGACAAGGGAGACAAGGGAGGGCCTGGAACAAAAGGCATGCCGGGACCACCTGGAAGGCCCGGAGAATCGATATCTACTCCACAACTGATTATATCACCTACAGATCAGACTAATGACGAAGGATCAAATTCGGTGATTTATTGCACGGTCAGAGGAAATTCTACTACTAGTGTCAAATGGCGATTCAAGAGCAGGAAGCTTTATTCGGGTGCAAAATATTTGGTTAAAGAAGGAGAAATGGTCGTGAGGAATCTAAATTACGGCTATGCTGGGCAGTACACTTGCGTCGCGAGAAATATTCTTGGAACGTCTGAGGCGTCTGGTAATTTGAAGGTTCGAGGTAAAAAGAACAATAAACTTTACTAAATTGAAATTCTTTTGCAAGGCCACTGATGAGCCAACAGAATTTTATCTTACCAACGTCAGGGGTAGGCCATGTTGTTACATTGCTTTTAAGAGGGTATGAAGTCCAGGGTGATGATCTTCACTATAAAAAGTGTGGTGGGTTACATGAGAGGCTAAGGCGACAAAAAAATTCTGACCCGGAGAGATTCTAATCTTGTACGTTACTTATCACCGCCTGCCAGGAAACAGTTTATGTCATGAACTACTTCTTCTCTCAGTATCTAGTTTCACTTTCCGGAAGTGTGTGATGAACGTAAGCAACGGTTAGAATTTAACCTTTGTAGGAGATCCGTCAAACCGTAGCTCAAACCCAGGGAGGTACTCTGGATTTCAAGTGACAGGGATGATCGAATGGGGGCAAAAATCAAAACCAGGAGCCAATCCTGTCAAAACCAAAAAAATCCTTGGACCAAAACTTCACCCCCTAAAAAATCCCATGCCCAATTTCCGAGGTATAAAAATTTCCAGAGGAACTTCGCGTACGCGGCCGCATGAGACGCAGGAACTATCACGAATATCTTCAGACCGTTTTGAATACCCCCAAAAAACATTACTTAAATCAAGCTACCAAAAAAATACTTGCCAAAAGTTTCCTACAAAAAATCCCGAAATCGAAAAGTCACCCCCTAAAATCCTTCGATCTTCCCTGGCACTTGAAATCCGGAGTACCCCCCGCCCTCACCCCTCCCCCAACCCCACCGGGAGCTCAAGCTTTATTTGTCAAGTCAGCAAGTGACATAAAAGATTTTAGGAATATTTGTTACAATGAAGGTGCGGTCATTGAATGATTTCGTTTTCTTTCTCTCCCGCTTCTCTACTCTTATCATTTTTCCTCTGGAACCAATTTATCAGCTCCTTTCTTTATATACCTTTGATCTAATAATACAGTCTATCACTTAGTAGCAAGGGAGGTGAGGCTTATTAGACGATTTACGGTATTTGTTCATACACCACCCTAAGCTGCACCCTATATAGATAAAAAAAATGTTGACGCTCCACACTAAACACACTGGATGATACCTGAATCTTCAATTTAAGTACCCAAACAAAACGACCAGCATCCCCGCCCCTTTTATGGCTCTTGATGGTATTTTAGTTCAAATTGTCAGACTCTTGCGGCGAGTTGTGAAACTATTGAGCTGGTATATATCGTACAATTACTCGTACGAGTTGCACCGGTTGAATGTCATTTTCACGACCATAACACATGTGGTGTCTACTGGACGAGCGAAAACTAACGTAGATATTTCTTTTTAAATGAAAGCCACCCATTCTGTGTAGTTTGAAAGACCGGTAAAAACTATAGCTATTTCAAGCCACACCATATTGATTCTTCGTCTCTTAGGTCTTCCAATCTTTACCAAAAAGCCCCCATTACTCGTCTCAAAAATGGAATTCGCTTAAATACAAGAAACCTGCCAGGCAGAAGGGTATCCACCTCCCACGTTGACCTGGATCAGACTTGTTATGCCTTTACCTGCTGGAAAGACCGAAATTAAGGAAGGTAAACTAACTATCAGAAATTTACGACCAGTGGACAGCGG